TCATCCTGAACCACAACACTTTTCCATCATGTCAGACGGACTCTTCGGACTGTAGGTTCGATCCGAGGTCACACTCCCTTAGTTTGATACCCCTGAACTATAAGTAACCCCGTCCTTTGAAGTGGCCTAGTCTTGAACTCATCACTAAGGGCTTCAAGGAACGCACACCACTTAAGTGACTTGATAGGAGATATCTTACTGCCTCTCTGTTCCTTATAGTCGCCACAAAAAAGCAAGAAAGAAGTTCAGTTCATTGTTAAATACATTCCAAATGAACAGGTTGTTTTTTGTCATACCCCGGCTCAAGAAAGAAGATTTGCCATGGGATGAGGATTTGAGGAAGTCAGGAAGGGCGACTCGAGAGTGAAACTGCTGTCCAGTACTGTAACCTACCTGACCTGGTTCTCTTCGAGCATACATGTGCACTGGTTTATTTTTCGCAACCTCTAATGGTGAATGGAAATGTGGTTGCCTGGTCGTCAAGGTGGGGCGGGCCGGGCCAAGAAGATGTGTCTGGGACTTTAGTTTATGTGGGAAAACAGGTCACGCACCTACTTTTGTGGCGTTTTCTAAGTGACTTTATCAACTTGGCATGTTAAACACCGGGCCTATCGGCCAACTATCTCCATCGCTTGACCTCAGGCTACGGCCGAACTCCTGGCTTTTCCCTTGTAAGCCCGAAGAAACAACGTGTTACAAGTTTAAGACCGAAGGAGGTTTTATAAATAAATGCCAACTTCTGGTTTGGTAGAATGGCAAAACCTACGAAGCCTGGTCCTGTTGCTTGTCGAATTCAATGGCTTAAAAACGCACGGCTTCAATCTACCATTTTTTTGATGGCAAGACAGTAGGCTAGCTCTGGATAGGGTGAGAGGCCAGCTGAAATAATATTGGCTGGATGACTATGGAGGGCGTGAACATGCCAGGACGGTTTTGCCGCCATAAATGTACAATGCTTCCCGGAGACGTCCTCAGATGAATCCTTGTTGCCTGACACGAGGTTCCAACTCTCCCTAACATTAAAGGGTGCGTGGAACATGGAGGCCATCGCAACATTCGTGCTGGCGTTGTATTGTACATCCAGCTGCCACCAGCATTTAAACGGCTGAAATGTTAGTTTGAATTTCATGGCTCTTCACATGTTTTACGAATCATTCATCCATACGTCTACTTTATTTTCTTCCCAACGCCTGAAGATGGTCTCGAAACCTCTTTGGGAGCTTTCTTCAGCTTCCGCCAAGTGTTCAAACTTTTTGCCATTTTCGGTCGCTTATGCTCTCTAGTTCCCAGCAAATCTTCTTTTCACTCCTTCTGGCACTTACTCCTAAGGCTACTAGTGTCAACAGTAACGCGTCAGGAAATTTCACAGAAGTCTGCCCCTAGAGAGCATTTAAATATTTCCCCCACTTCTTATGCAGCTCTTGAGACAAAACTCCGGCATTTGGTAGCCACTTACACTGTCATTTTGCCGGTATTTGACTGGATAAGTGTAAGTCTATAATCACAAGCCCTAACTCAGGTACCAGGTTTTCGATAGCTTTTATCTGACATAGGGGGCCTAAGACCTAATTACTGATGAGTAACCTCCCCATGGGTGAAAATAATTGCCATCCCTGTATTGGAGTCAGTCTTAAAGGGATTCAAGAAATTCCGACCTGATAAGCAAAATACCGCCCTTTTGCAAACAGTACAGCAGCCTTTTGCTCCTATAAGTATAAGTTTGAACGACGTACTCGACTCTTAATGCCCAGCAAATAACTCTATGAAACGTAAATCAAGGGGAACATCAATAACTAACAAACCAAAAAAGACTCAATGTTATTTCTGCTCAACTTTTTGTAAGAATCCATCCAAACGTTAACAGTGTGAATCACCTTAAATCCCTCTTACCTTATCATACCGCCAACCCGCGGTTGTAAACTACATAGCTGCTATTTTTACACACTATTAGAGACATGATAAATGCGGACGCTGAGTTCTACAAAAATCACGGACAGATAATCGAAATAAACAAAAGGATGCTGGACCCGGTGGTTCTATTCAATGCTGACCTCACACAGTTGCTTTTGAACCTGAGAAGCTGCGGAATCAGTTGCCCGGGGTGTGCCGGTTCTATGCCTCTAGTGTGATTTTCTCGCCTGGTTGGTCATTGCAGGAAAGGACAAAAGGAATAAGGATAGCGGCTGGACTAGAGGCCACACTATGAAGTGGCGAAAGGCCCTGAGTTAGTGAGGCTCCAAACAGCATCTGGAATAAACGAATGGCGACGAAACACTATGGTTAAGTTGTCACCAGTCAGGAAAAGAAGATCTGATGGGGATAAACAGATAGGAATGTACCAAAGTTTGAACAACCCAAACAGAAAGAAGACACTGTGAAGCCGAAAAATGGAGGGCAGGGAGTTGAGTAGTGCCGTATTTCAAGGATGATCCCGGAGAAACACCCATCACTGTTGCAGTGGATGACATTGAAACATGGGAGGTAATCGGCTGCCTAGAATCACTGCAGAAATGCACATTTTTGCCAGCAGTTCACCATTTCAGGTTGATGATTTTATACTTCAGAGTGTAGGTTATCTGAACAGTAGTGGGTGATATCTCATTGCATTAAATTTCAATACGTCCGGTGTGAGTTGTATATATATGGCCTCAACAAAGTATCTTGATCCATTCAGTAGTAAGTCAACCTTCTGTGTTCTGGAAAGGCCTGAAATAGGATGTCAGCATTGTTATGCGTCTTGGGGTGATGTAAAGATTTAATTAGAAAGATCTAACGAAGTGTTGCTAGGATTAACACTGGGTGTTTGAGAATGTTCCAGCAAGGGATGTCAGTCTCTCCCACGCGGTCAGAACTCGGATAACATCTGTTTGTCTGTTGTCATCATCTCAAGCCTTGGCGTGTTGAGAGGGTCTCAGTTTCGATTCACACGGGTTTAACGTTAGGGTTAGTCCCCATGGGAGACAAATACATCCATTCCTCCCTGTACTTCTCCCCAAATATTCAGACCATCAGCATGTAGGCTTTTGAGTGCTTGGTTTTTCCCAGGAGAATTTGACCCATCTGTTTCTTTATGGAAAAACAGAATGGGTGTTGTTGCTAATTGTTTGAAAGATTGTGCTCATCAACAGTTTCCCTCCGGAATACTGATAAAGTGTGTTATCAAAAGTAAGCCAAGCGGAAACTTCTGGATCCTATCTGACCTTACCCTGACCCACCCTGTTACAGTGATTCTTGAATAGTGAATCATCTGGGGTGGATAACCTGGATGTAGGGACGTGGAAGGAAACAAGCACGTGGGCACCTTGTCTAAGAAAGTTATTGGTGCTTGAATTAGAGTCACCAACGGTCTGACTGTTAAGAACATGTGTGGTTGGTATGTCTAACTGTCAGGCCGCAGCAAGGGCATTGATGGACGTCTTCAGCCGAGCAATTTTTCAGTAGGAGTGGGCCAGTGTTCAGGTAGCAATGAAGTTAAGGTAACCCACAATGAGAATCTGAGAAATGTTCAAGTCGGCAGCTCCCCTACGGATCGCATCATGCTCCCATTAAGCGTTGGATTGGCTGTGGCTCCATCCATGCTGGGACCTCCGTAACATGTAATGTTGGATATATGGCGTCATTGGTGCTGATCTCAGGGGAAGAAGTCTCATGGGGTTTCAATGGACAGCAGGTGCAAAGAACCATGTTTTTCAGCTAGTCAGTGTGCTGGGACGGTGCTCACCAACCGCTAACCTTACCTCAAGTATCTTGGAGAACAAATCATGCGTTTTGCCGCAGATACCTTGAATGACCGTTATGGGACTCGTAGCTCCGCCATTTGGTTTAGCCGATGGGATTGTGTAACCAGCGTTTATAACGTTGGCTTCAACAATATCAACGATAATAATCACCTTATTTCAAGCAATATGTAGGGTACAGTGTGGAATTCTCGACATGAAACCCGTAGAGAAAGTTTTTAAAGAAACAATGATTGCACCTCAATAGTGTTAGGGATAATGACATTAAGGGCGTTAGTATGAAACGGGTAGCTGATGTTACATCAGCGTCTGTATCTACTGTTGTTCAGTACGTTGGTTAGTATAACAAGACCACCTCTCATCATGTTTACCCAGAATTTCAAATCCCAGAGAGAGGCACTGAGAGTGACGAGGATACAGTCCCACTTAAATAACACCTAAATGCCTCGTTAGGTTGACCCAATAGATGACAGCACAAGTTTTTACTGCTTAGATCTTGCTCAAACAACTGGGTTAAGAAGACCCACTTGACTACTTCGGTGACGGAACTTCGCTGCCGAAAGTAAGTGAATACGAAGACTGAAAAACATAGTCACCATCACAAAACAGCACTTAATTTCGAAATAATGGTTGTCAGTCTTTCCAGTCTTTTGGTGGTTCCGAAAGATCTTCTAGAGGTTTTATGAAAACAGATTCGGGACCTTAGACCTGTTTTGTGCAAGGCCCTATTCAGAGTGTGGTATTTAAGCAATGATTCTGTGTGAGAGCTGCTCCAAATGGTTCAAAAGCCTATTTTACGAAGACAGATTGCACCAACTGGGTCTTTCTCCACTGTCTTACCCCCGTATGCAGTGTGATCCCACTTTAACGTACTAAATCTCGAATATTAGTTTATAGGCTAATTTATCTCGTCATTCTTCTCTAAAACTGCTGGCGTTGGAGGAGATCAAGAAGTGAATAAGCCGCCACCTAATCCTCTCCGTCTCGAAATTTTCCGCTCACAGAGAGTAATAAACCACCAGAACTCTGCTGGGGTACATAGTGTCCGGAATTTCTACTGATATCTCAAAAACTAAATTTTATCCTCACTTTATCATCAAGTTTGAAGTTTGAATAGCAAGGAATAATATGTGTTTCTGGTCTACATTCCTCATTCCTAAAAGTTTCCGTACTTAAAAATGGTTCCTCTGGATCCTTAGAATCTTGCTTATTTTATGCAAGGTGTGTAATTGAATCTGAGTTTGTAAATTTTTAAAACGTATCACAGAGTGTTTCTTGAAGGTCGAGTGAGTGTTTACCGCTGGGTTCCAGTGTTGTCCTTGGAGTGTTTTATAATGTCTGCTTAGTTTGTGCCACCTAAACGCGCCACTAACTAAATTTTTGATGGACAATTCACAGTTATATAGTGACGATGTTGTAAACATTGCTAACTCCCTGTTGAGTGATCTTAAGGTTTTAGTCTTAAGTTGTATTTATTGCTTTTCAGAATAGCTATCAAATTTGGGAAGATCTCGTCTCTAAATGTGGCAAATTTCACTCAGCCCTAAAGTAAAACTCTGTATTCTCTAACGTTTTTCCAAGGGCTGCTACCCAAGCGTCATCCGCTTTCCTGGATGCTTTTCAGAAGGTGGCGGATTTGGCCACAAAGACTTTTGGCGGCAGCAAAGAAATTGGTGCATGCCTAACCCGCTATTGCATGCGACAGAAAAGTCTAGAATCTAAAGTGAAGTCTATGAGCAAGTAAGTCTAATGCGTCTACGTGTCAGATTGTTCGTTAAGAAAATAAATATTCAGTAGCCTTGTGTTCATTCTGTAGGCTGTCAGCTGCCGTGTAGGGACTAGTGATATTTTATGAAGTAGACCTGAAACCTTCCAGCAAGTGCTTGAAAGAAAAGCATTAGTGTATTCTTATTGGCTGTGTGAAAGAATTCCTTAGTAATTTAAATCACTAGATTTTGAGCTATACTTCATAATAGCCAGTGTTGAGAAATGAAAGGTTTACTGGTACGATACTCACTGCCATATTGCATCCCTTGAGGCTTTAAGTACTTATCGGTCGAAACACTTTTAATCATCAAGTTACTAAGATACTACTACTCTCAGTCATAATTCTGTAGGTGAAGATCACATCGGTCATCCTCATTCGTTTTTTTACTTGGTGTTTCGTCTTGGGTGCGAAACTTCGCTTTGTTTGTTGAGCTTGGATCGTAGAACTATAGAAAAGGAAGTTTTGTATCCCGTAAATTAAAAGACAGGAACTCTTCCATATCCATATACGGTATTTAGAACTTACAGTGAAATTGTGACTAAAAGATTCAGGTATTCACTTCTCGATTTTCGGGTCGCTTCCTCAAATATACACCATTTGATTCATTTTGGTTAGTTTGACAGTGTTTATAACTAAGACATGTGTAGTTAGGAATTTCTTCATGGTAAGAGTTTACTGTATTAGTGTTTAGTCAACCTCTCACGACGTGTAAAGTGCCTCAAAGTAAGCCTTACATTTGAAATTGAATTGAACAATATAGTTATAGTGAAGCTGTGCCTCAGTAGCTAAGGGGGATTATTACCAACCAGTGGGTCACGGGTTCGATCTTTGTTCCACCTACTGAGGTTTGGAAAACCAGGTAGTATCACTACCCTCACACGATAGATACGGCTCATTGCCTACTGCACGAATGTGCACAAGGTGGCTGAGTACGCTACATACGTCACACATTATTATAGAATCAGATTTGGGGAATTCTTAGTGTTGCCTGCATAACTTGCTCAGAAGTCTTTGCTTGTTTGAGGTGTTACGTGTTAACCCTTCTCATAAGACATTTTCTTCATTAAGCCCAGTAATTCTAGAGAAAGATTAAAGGCCAATCCGTTCAATAATACGGAGGTCTGGAGTCAATCTTATTCCTAGGACATTTTCTGCCTTGATGACTCGTAATGAGCCCCGATCTCTACAGTATCACTTTGTTTACTTACTGTCTCTTTCGATGGAGATCATTTACAATAACGTAGATTGTGTTGTGTTTTGTAAGCGTAGGTTTGGAATAAAGATTAGGGAACGTGAGTGTTGGTTGTTCAGGTTTGCAGTACCGTCTCATGACTTACCTGTAAGTATTTTACTTATAGTATTCGGTTTGATTGGAGTGTTTACTTGTCTGTATGAAAAGAACAACTTTTTCGACATTTTGATTCAACTCAAAATGGCTTTTGATTCTACAAAGTGCTAATGCATCAGTTTGTAACAGAAAATATTCAGCATACTATTCTTAGGAAGAAGTTGACAAGGTTTTATGCTTGGGACTGTAAAAGTAAGTAGTTAAGTCATTATACTTTGATGCTTATATTCATTTTAAAAACTTGTCTTTCCACCCTTTAGTCATTTGGTCACTAGCCTTGCCAACCCTCTCAGTTCAAAAGTAGATGAATGGCGGCGTAACTTATGCCTACTGGAAAAAGACAGAGCTCGTCAAACAAAAAGGGTGCGTGCAGAATTAAAGAAAGCTCTGGCTGAAGCACAAAAATGGGAGAAAAAGGCTGCCAAAATCGGTATTAGTGGTAGTGGTGGTGTAGGACCAGGCGTAGGTCATGGTATCATACCTTCACCAAATCTTGGATGTTCCAATTCTGAGTCTAATGCAGTTAACACACAAGCCGCAAAAGCTGCACGTGAAGTCGGAATTAAAAAGGAGCTGGTCGAAAATACTGAGAAGTCTGCTATTCGCTTGTTGCTTCTTGAAGAACGAAGCCGGTTTTGTTTTTTCGTATCCTGTCTTCTTCCAATCCTTGTGAGTAGAATTTCGATTATTTTCAATTGGTGACAGTAATATCTATGGTATTGTCTTATATTAATTTCAACTTTTTATCATGGATGAAATGCTTTTCGATCTGACATTTTGTGGCATATAAAGAAGCACGAATACATTAGATATACTCTGGTGCTTCGCCCCATTGTTTGTCTCATAGTCGACTAATGACTTTTAATGTACAACAGTTTTAGTGATAAGAATCACATTGTCGAAGGAATTAGGATCCCTGCGGATTGAACAACTGCGTTGGTAGTCTGAAGTGTATTGACCATATTATCGCATTTGAACAGAAAGTAGTATGCAAACGGTTATTCTTCAGCTATAAAGAGACAGACAAAAAGTCAATGTAAAACTTCGCACACAAGCGCATCTCAAGTTGTCACACTTTATAGTAGTATACAAAGAACAGGTGGATAGAAAAAGGTGATAAAAAAGAAGATAAAGTAGTGTGAAAGAATAAACAATTTGAATATTTCGGCTATATATATCATTCCTTAAAACATGTCGAAGAGTTAATACGTCTGCGCCATGTGACCAAGAGTCTTCAACCATTGATTCCTTTCGTCATGGGGATCCTAACCAGGGACTCTACGTCTCCCCACACGACTCAGATGAACGGTAAGAGACTTTATGGACTGGTGCCATGTGTTGGTCTGCTCATCCTGAACATTCTTCTAATGTTATCCAGCTTCATGTAGCAAAGGACGTCAAAGTAGATTGTGGCTTGGCGTAAGCACCACATGTTCAATCCATCTCAGTCGATGAGGGTTAACAACCTTATCAATCGACTTTCCTGTCTTGTACTTTCCGTCTGACCTCAAAATCGTCCATACGAGGATTTTACTAAACGTGAGCAATGTAACGGTGACACTTGTAATTAAAACCCTGTAATCGCTTTGTATCTACTCTTAACGGCCATGTATCATAGCCGTATAACAGGACAGAACAAACTACAGCGCAGTATATTAAGCTCTTAACAGGTAGTCGACGCCTCAGATGGTGCAAGTTGGGTAGTTCTGAACGGTTCTTCTGTATCGGAAGTGAGACTTCGTCAGCAACCAGCCCTCCTGGGCTGACCCAGCTCCCCAAGTAGGTGAAGTGATCGATGTATTGCACCACTTCACGCTCCATCATTAAGCTGGCACAGTTGCAGACCAGTCCTTGAGCATCATCTCATATTTGACGAGTGCGAAACATATAACAGGCAAACATACTCATATTTCTTCTCAACGCGTTCAGAAGACCTAGAATTGCGTCAGCGTCTTAACCCAGTAGAAAAATATCGTCCACACACTCCAAGCCAACCAGATGAGCTCCAAGGAGTAGATCAATTCCTGGGAAGTCAAAGGTGCCCAAGGTTATGTTCATGAGTACGTCTGTGATAAAGGAACGGTGACTGTGCATCTGTGGCGGACAATACAAGTTGTCGTCAATTCTGATGAAAACTCTCTATATGCTGTTAGTCGGCTGTTTGATTTCGAGCAGAGAGCTTTGATTATCGTTACATATTTGCTCGATACTCTCTACACATGCAGACACTGCCACAACACCCCACGGTTGGGAGAGTCGAATGCCGCCTTCAGATCAACAAACATGGCAGGCGCCCGCTGCCGGTAGGTGTGCCTGCGTTCAAGAATGTGTCGGAGGGTAAAAATATGATTGATGCACTCTGCAGGTTCAGGTTTGAAACCTGCCTTGTTTTCTCGAGCTCCAGTCAGACGTGGGATAACTATGGATTGAAGTATCTTGGATACAATATTAGTGAAACTAATTCCCCCATTGTCGTCATGGAGAGAATTTTCTACTTTCTTATAGACTGGGACGATGAGAGAGGTGTACCAGTCTGACGGCACTACCTTTGTTTCCGAACACCACCTAGTACCTCCATCATTTGAAGCAGTAGTAATTTCGTGCCTCCATCCTTGGAAACTTGAGGTGGGGAACTGTCAGATTATGCTGCTTTGCATCATTTCAGGTTGGATACAGCTTTATCCCATGTAGGTTGAGACTGGGTGTTAGGTAACTGAAACATCTCTGGAAGCTCAAATTCCCTACGTGGACGGTAAAGTCACCTACCATTATGACTACATCTGAAGGTTTCGCTCTATGTAGCAAAATTGACATCTTTTCATGGAATTCATCCTTTGCATCATCTTGACTAGAGTTGGTGGGTGCTTATACGGAGATTACGAATAGGCATCACCTAGTCTCACGATCCTTCCTAGTTCTTACAGATCCATTCTGTCGAACAACACATGGGTGCTTGTTGACTGGTATCCAGTCTAGTAGCACACTTTCTGCCCTACAACCGAATGGTATGCCTATAGCAGCGAGTGCAAGAGAGCTAGGCATTGGGTGTTCGGATACTCTGAAGGTGAGTTTTGAAGACTCACTGGACTAGTCATATGAGGTCAATGTAATAACCAACATTCGGGTCCTGTATACGTACGTGTCTCAGAGACACACAATATGGACCCATGTCTGGAGGTTCGAGGGTTTTGGCGAGGAATGCTTGGTATTTGATTTGGCGTTGAGTTCAGACGTTGGGAGCTGGTACATGAAATCGAAGGTTTGGGTGTTAGGAGAGTAGTAATGGTGTTTCGATGATTTCGATCGTAGGGAGCGGTTGGAGAGTGATAGGTTTAGGAAGTAGTTAAGGGTTTAATGTTGGTATCTGGAAGTGAAGGGGAAGGAGGAGGAGGAGGAGACAAAGTTGAGGAGGATAGATTATGTTTGATTTGGTGTTGTGTGGTCCTGGAAGTGTGTGGGTGGTTGACACCTCCCGGCTACCCAGACCGTGACAGGCTGTTTTTTTTTAGATGTACCTGAGTGGGAAAGAGATTTGGGTGACTGCAGGGCCCATAATACGTCTGCTTAAGGGCTGTGACATGGATTTGTTTGTGATTTGTTGATTATGGTTTGGTTGTTCTAAAGCATGATGATAGAGAGGGACTTATGCTGCGGGTACTGGAGGATCATGGTGTGGGTTTGGAGTATGTTATCTTGGGGGTGGTGTGACCTTTTCTACCTCACCCATTCCTGTTGGGAAGACAGCATTATCGTATCACTTTTAGTCATGCTGAAGAAACACCTTATTACTGTCACAACCTATCCAGCTGTTTGCAGTACGACTTTGTGGTCGGACCTCCATCATATTGTAGTAATTTACACTCCAACGGCAACTGCTTTTCTTCTTTCCACTATGCAAGAGATGTTTCATGAATGGCAGGACGTCTAGGGAACAAGGGTTGCAGGGAGTGTAGCTCGTTTGTTATTGTGATATGCAAGCCCGACCACCAAGTCAAGATAGCAGCTATCGGCCGAAAACTATGGGGAGACAATTCGTATTGATTTGGGCATTTGAAGAGCTGTCTTGTTTACACAAGTGAAGCAAAAAGCGAATGATGTGTAATTCCTGCGAGCTATAGCAGCTATTTTTCACAGTTATCATTACTTTAAACTTTAGTTGACAACAGTCCTGACATCGAACTGAATTACAGTTTGGTTTTAAGGCATACTGTTAGTTGGTTTCATAACGCGAACCAACATGATCAGTAATACTGTTTCTCGAGACCGGAGACACTGCCGACAACAAACTGCTCCGGTTAAAATTTACATAGTTGCTTGATATGTTGACACTTTATTATCCTAATTCATTATGGGTGGCGTTATCCTCAAAATGCTTCATAGCATCCTTTTTCACACTTTGCAGTAAACTGATTCATCGGTTACTTGGAAGCACAACGTTAGACCATGAAATCGACGAAAACAAGTAATATTTGATAGTGATTGTTAGGTTGAGATATAGCATCTCATTTTCATGATCTATAATTATGCAGGAGAAGCATGCCTTTCTCGTGGAGTTGCCCGGGGGTTGAACTTTTAATCATTGGACTGTAGATTTGGACCCACCTTATTTATCTTAGCTTAAAAAGTTCAGTAATAACGCCTGCTTTCAAGTAATAGCTATTGGTCACAGGTGCTTTTCCACTTTAGTTGATTTATTAGATGTATTGTGCAATGGAACAGTGTTTACTGGATTACGTTTCGGACATTATTTTCCATAATCGTATGAAGATTACTACACAACTTTGAGATATGGTTTTTATCTACATTAGTGCTTTTATTGTTAAGACGAACAGAATGACATAAAAAGCTTTATAATTGCTCAATAATTCGTGACGGCAGTGAATTATGTATTTTTCAGGAGACCATCACTTTTAGTCCGAAAACTATTTAACCGATGTCTTTCTCTATTTCTTTGTATAATCTGAAAGCACTATATCATTTTCCTATCTCTTTTTCAGGAGTGCCAGTCAAGCATGTTAAATGAAATAGCCACTATGGATGAGCTTATTCAAAGTCTAACAAAGGAAACTGAATATCCGAACCAGTTAGTTGAAGATGTAGAGTCTATTGTATTAAGAATGGGACGACGTGATATCTCTGTTTCTTCTCGAGCCAGTAGTAAAACTATATCAGTATTTTTACCAGATACAGGAGGCAAGATGGGTAATATGAATGACATTTTAGGCGGTTTATTTTTGACTAACAATAATCGAAATTGTGTCAATTCAAGTGATACAGAGTCTGGTCGACATTGTACTGACATGTTGCCATTTCACCTTCGTCGGGAATCTAATTCAGTTGGTCGATGCAATTCTGTATGTGATAGTGGAGACGTTTCTCTTTGTGGAGCAAGTTCACATAGCGGTAGTGGTGGAAGTAATTGTCCATCTCTCCTATCTCCTGTGCGTAGCAATATCGCTCATTTGGGTAGCCGTGAATCAAGTCTTATTTCTGTGGATAGTGCAGCTTCTGGAAGTGGAAATGCAAATCCTTCATATTCTATTGGAATGTCAAATGCAAATGTACCGCACTCCGATTCTGTAAGTTTTTTTAGTGATCATTTTTTACACTATAACACAATTTAATGTATTGTTTTGTGTCAACACAATTAGCAGAAGGTCGATGATTAGTTCTTAGATAGTGGGAAGATGAAACTTTTAGAGAACTATTTCGATTTTTTGATCGCATTGTAAGAAGCGGTTTATTTTCTGTTAATTTGACAAGGAAACACTGGTGTTACCAATAAGTTGTACGGATTTAAGTTGTAGCTGAATCTTAAAGGTTATATTTGTTTGATCAGTTTCGAATTAATCATTGCAGTTGTTACTCTGTGATAAATGAAATGTCCTTGTTTTCTTCCAATACTGCCTACTTATTCGAAAATGACTAGATTATCTCGATGACTCCTCATTCGTGTGTGTGTGTGTGTTTACGTGATTAGTTTGAGTTGTATTTCTGAAATATGTTCATGCACATGATGTTCGTCAAAAATCTGCAATTTATCACCGCAATATTTAAACTTTCTGAGTAAACAATTTTATAACCTAATACTTTTAAATCTGTCAATCAGTGTATAGTTTGTTCGAGAAGTAAATTAACACAGTACTGAAGTTTTTATTACCCTCTTCAATAGGCTGATTTTTATCGTAAATATCTTTCAAGTTATTTGTTAATTGGTGCATGTTTTACAGAGTGAAACAGTTTTTGTGAGTTGGTTGGGTTGGTGAGAGTTGACTGAATATATCCTCAACTGCCATTTAGACCACAGAAATAATATTACGCCTTGTAAAGACGAAACAATTTTACTATACTTGTGCAACTATACAGTTATGAACCCTTTTTTATTTTTCAGTTTTTATTACTACTATCATTATTTTCGTTTGTTAGATAGTACAACTCTGAAACAATGTACACATTTCGTGTATATCAGGATAAGCCATATGTATGGTATTCAGGCTGAAGATGATAAAATAAAATTTGTGCATATAACATCAACGACTGATAGTCACCGTATCATATCATGTATTGCTGTGATTACTGTAACTATAAATAATCATGGTGCTGTCTAGTTAAGTTCACTCTCTCTCATTGATAAGTTCATCAAGGTTGAATATTATTTTCTTACAATAGCTAAAATTTCTGAATCAAATTATTGGTTGGAGATTGGGAGTATCAAGAAGGGTTTGTAAAATATTCCATATTAGATTTGTTGATTTGATATGCAACATACAGTGATACAGTATTATTTACTTGATGACGTTTCGAGCATAACTTATCATTGCTCATATAATCGTATCGATGTAATCACACTCCTTTCGATGTCTGATTTTTATAGTCCTGTCACCTCATATTCTTTGTTTTTATTGGTAGTGAAGTTTTCCATATCTCTGGTACAGGTGTTGCATCATTCCTATTGCATGCGTTAGGTTGGGTGTTTATTTGGTGAATAAAGATTCAGTAACCAATCTCTCTCTTCACCTAATTATATTGGGCTTAATTACGGTGGTTTTATCCCACTCTCTTGTGTAGTTGTGAGTTAATGCTTACGTTGCAACAACCGAGTATTTTTATGGATTATTGATCTTATTGGGGTCTGTCATTCTATGTTTAGCTAAATTCCTATTTTCCGCTAATCTAACTGACCCCGACCAGCTAGTTTCACCTATGTACTTGACCTTACAGTCATTACACGGAATTTAGTAGATTAGATTGTTTTGCTTAATTGGATTTATTGGATCCTCTAGCCGGCAAAGCTTATCTCTGAGTGAGTTTTTAGGTTTCAATGCCACCCTAATTCCAGCTTTGTTGAGAGTTATATGTAAAGTTTCTGATGTTCCTTCCTTAGATGGTACTCGTGCACGTACACGAGCAGGAATAGGTTCAAAACCTCTATTGTATTGCCAGATTCGAACCCAGTATCAATACTAGTCTGACAAGCTACACCTTGGTGGTTGCTCAGTTTCTTGGTAAATGTAAAAGATGGTAAGATAACGTGTGGCGTATTGCAACGTCAAAAATATTTACTAAATACAGGGGTTTGTATATATTTAAAATGGCCTTGGGTATTTCTAGGCCTTTTTACATTTGAATGTCCTATTAGTTTTCATCCCTTCACCCAATCCGATGTTTACACGTTGGTCCATGTGCTTCCACTCAAAACTTTGGTGCAACATGATTGGTTGTAGGAAGCTTCAGGGATTTGGGACTCTTTATTAGAATGATGACAGTCTTATTCTACACTATAACAGAAGAATATTATGGATAAGTACCAACCTAAAGTTTTAAAGCAGCTAGTGATATCTTGATAGCTTTGGACAGCGAGAATATACTAATCGTCTGTCAATCAATTTTTATGTACAATTTAATGTCTTAAGAAGTTATGTATCGTCAATTTATGCAGTAATGATGTCACTAAATGTTACAATCACAGACATCTAAGAGTATGCGTTTTCTTGGAGGTGCTAGAAAGTAATGAGCAAGGTATTCAGTCTCACTGGGAATCGAAGTATCAGTTTTACCAGTGGAATTTCGTCACTTTCGACATGTGAGCCTTGGAGATGAGTATATATGTGTGGTATTTGCCGATCACTATTCGTGTTTTCATAATGAAAACTGCCTTTTCTTTGGGTCAGTTCTTTTCAGCTAACTACAGGCCATAGTGTAGATAGAAATTAGTGGTTGAAGACTCTTGGTAATATAGTGGTGATGAATGCTCTGTTTGCCATTTTTAAAGTCTTAAATATCTTCCATTTACCCTCGTGTATTAATTTTGTACCTTCTTAAAACTTTTGTCTACTTTCTGTTCACTTTTTTGCATTCTTCCGCGAAGTGTGGCAATTTGGATTGATGCTTTTCTATGTCAGGTTGTATGTTAGTTCGATCTGTCTGTTTATCACTTCAGGGGTAGGACAGTGAGACGTGTGGGTCGAAAAGTTAAGATGAATAAAGGTGAGCCCAGTTATGTTACCGAATCTGTATGTGCCTTAACATCATGGTTAAAACTGAAGTACACGATTATATCATTGTAGTGCGTTACCGTATATTTAACCAACAGATGAGATATACTAAATGCTTAACTCATTTTCACTGTAACACCTTCAATAGTTGTTTGTATAAACATGATAAGATATGTGGCTATGTGAATATGTGACGCATTGGCTTGTGGATTTGACTTTCAGACAGTGTGTTCCAGGTCCACATCCTACTCCACCTGCATTGGCCTGAGTAACGTTATACGGAGTAGTGTATAACCTACCTGTACGTTTTAACTGAGGTTCTTTGAGAATAATTTTTTTACTTTGATCAGGATATGGGAAATTCAATAGGAATGGCTTGTACAGTAACTCGAAAAGGGCTTTCAGTAACTGGTTGATAAAGTTGGTCTGAAAAGTGTCAACTTCAGAACAGTGTAAAAATTGCATGCTAAAAGTAATATTTTTCTACTGGTAAATTCCCTTAGTGACAACCATCAAGACAGTCCAGAATGTGTATTCCATCCTATTTGCGGCTCTTCAGTTGGATTTACTTGCATCCCAGTGAGTGATCTTCCTACTGAGATGGGGACGCAGCACCCATCACTTTAAACGCTAAAGCGTTATCCAATAGGCTACTGAACCACAACAGAATCTTGTTGGCATCTGAAGGCATATGCACAAGAACTGAATACCAGCAGAGACCTATCAGTCACGTCTAGTATTATAATCAACAGGAAATAATAAGTGTCGATAAATAAACTTTATTTGATAGGTTCAACAGAGTTAAGTGGTTTAAAGGCGAATTTCATTGCAAACTGACACTAACTGAGGAATTATTGAAGTCAAAAGTAAGAAAATATAAACTGTTGAGCTGTATTTTATTTAGTGAGTAGGTTGATGTGCTTACTGTGATACGTAACGATTTTGAACTTGATCCTAAATAGGGTTGTGATCTCATCTGGCTAAGAAGTCTCAAAGTATCAGTCCGTAATGAAATCTTCCTTGAGTTAGTTATAATACTGCTACTATTAATAACACTCTAGACCATATTGCAATACCCTATTGTATTTCTAAGTTCATTTGTTATACTTAAGCGTTTAACTTAGATAAGTTGATGTTTATTGTGGCAATTTTTTGAAGTAAAAAAGAACTAACGTTAAGATATCTACTTACTTGTGCGAATGGATTTATTCTTGTCTGAGGACATTGGCCTACTAACTACTACTGGTGGTGGTTGTTCACTCAAATAAACTGAATGACCTTAAGACACAATATTTTGTTTAACTTTAAGGAAAGGCATTGATTGTTATATAATTTCTACCTCTTCTTTTGCTAATAGACATTGAAAGTTAGTAGCTTTTCTCAACTATTTTTGATGGGTATAAAGGATGTGCATGCTGCAATTTAGAATTCATATGTATGTTTCCGTACCAGGCTGTGAACTAAACTTGTGTTGGGATTAGTGTTAGTAGCTGGTGACTGAGAACTAGGTGGATTTGGCGACGAAACGCACTCAACCTTCTTGTACACATCTGTGCAGTAGGCAATGAGCCGCACCTATTGTGCGAGGGCTATCAGTGATACTACCTGTCTTCCCAGACCTCGGTAGGCGCATCGGGGTTCGAACCCGTGACCTACAGGCTGATAGCCATCTCCGTAGACGGCTGAACCATATCTTCATGGTAGACGGAGCAGCGTTCTAAGTTCTTATGTCGAATACCTTAATCACCGAGTTACTATTAAAATGTCTAGGTCTATGGCTCAGAAGTTTTGTTACTATTGCAAGCATGTGATGATTAGCAGAGGAAAGCTTTACAGCTCGTGATACGCTTACTGAAACTCTTAGCCCAAGGTGTTATTGTGTTTAGCTTTTCTGATTTTCAGCGCAAAGTGTACGGTGCGTTAATAACAATAATAATATTCACCAACAGCTGTTTTTCCTATCAGACTTCTGCGCAGAGAATCGTGAGCTTTTAGAATGAAACCATTTTAATTAGTCATATGATACAATCTCTCTGATTTGTACATTGGCTGTTACTGAGTGGAGACCTGAGACATGAACAATA